GGGGAGGGGAGCCAGTTGGGCGAGGGAGAGCCCCCGGCTGCCAGAAGGTCCCGCCAGGAGGAAACCCAAGTGTCACTTGAATTCTGCCCGAGGAGCGGGCGCCTGGGATCCGAGAGCCTTGTTTAGCAATAACGGCTGGAGCGCGTCCTACAAGTTACGGGAGAGTCGGCCGGGAAGGAGAACAATCGGTGGGCTCCTCCGCTTTCACTCCTGGCCCCCCTCGAGAACCCAGCGTTGCCTCGCGCTGGAACCGGAGCTCCAGAATGAAAAGCAAGAAAGGTAAGAGACCGCGGGCTGCGCGCGCCGTGGGCGCGAGTCCGGGGAAAACGTGCTCGCGGGCGGCGCCGGGCTTGGGGAGAGAGTGACTTGGTGGACTTTTCCGCCCCGGGGCTCGCAGGCCGGAGCGGCGGCCGTTGTCTTTGTTGAGGCTGCGTCTGAAAAGGCAGTTGCTGTCTTCCTTCTAGACACAACACGAGGGGCTGTTGTGGGGAGACGGGCCTCTCCACGCTGCTGGCACGTTGTCAAGAAACACGCTGACCGCCTTGTTTGTGCGCCTCCAAGTTTCATTGTCTCCGCCGACACCGCACGCCGCCGCGTGGCTTCTCGCTCCTTCTCGCCGGCAGAGAGTGGGGTCCAGGTCCGGGGCACCCCCGGCCCATTTGTCCCGGTCGGGACTGAGGCGGCCCGGACGGCGGAGCCGAGGCGCCTTTGTCTGAAAGTTGAGCGTCTGGGCCCCCCCTCACTCCGGATTGGGCCGGGCAAGCTCTTCGCTAGTGATGGGGTGTTTTCACAATCGGAGGAATGCGACTCTGGACCCCCAGATCGCCCTCGGGCGTCGGTACTTTTGGAAAGCTAGATTTTTCAGAATTCCCAGTCTCTAAAAGTTTTCCCACAATGAATTTGGGGCAAGAGGAAGAGTTAGGACTGAGGGCAAGCGGCGTGCAGTCAGAATGAGTCCAAATGTAACATGCAAAAAGTGAGTGTCATTGTTTCCACGAAGCGTTTTGGAAGCCTTGCAACTAAAATTTGCCGTCAGTCTGGTTTAAAAACAAAATACACAGAAAAAAAGAAAGAAAAAAACACCACCACGAAAGGTCAAAGAATGTTAACTCCCTTTTGAAGTTAACTTTTGAGTCCTCGCCTGGGAGGTACCCCTGAACGTTCCGTCGTGGGCCGGAGTTGGCTTTTCTGTTGTGATTTATGTCGAGTGGTTCAAAACAGAAGTTAATCGCTGGGGGAAGCCAGCGCGGGCGGGGAGCGGGGGTGGGGAGCGCTGTTGCGCATGCCCAGCAGCGTCCAGAGTTTCTCCAACTTCACATTCTTTCAGTCGTCCGGCGAATACAGTTAAAACGGGCTCCTGCTAGAGGGGGACACCCTCGAACCCGAGAGGGTTCCCTCGGCCACGTTTTCACCTTGGACTTTTGTTCGTTTGATCCTGGGCTGGTGACTTTGACATACGCGGAGCCCCACCTCCTGCTTTCCGGGCGAGAGTAAAACCCGGGCATGGGTAGTTGTAACGGGATTCCCTGCGTCCCCTCCCCGGGGGCTCGGAGGTTTGGGCGTTTTAACTGGGCTCGGGGAGAAAACGCGCGCGGGGAGCGCCCGGGTGGCCTCTAGAGGCCGTGTCGACTCGTGGAGGACTGACAGGTTCAGATCATCACTGGAAGGCGTCCTCGCCCTCGTGGTTGAACTGACTGGTATAAGTTTGGGGGTTGTTTTTGATGATCCGAGAGCAAAGCTGGACTTGCGCGGGGGCGGGCTGCCCCCATTGTTCGGACTCTGGTTGGGGAGGCAATGAATATCCTCCCCGAAACACCCCCAAGGCTCTCGGGTGCCCTCCCCCGGCACCCCTATCCCCCCTCGGCACTCTCGGGTACCCGACCCCGTTCCCCACCCCACCCCCAGCAGAGGGTCGCGGCAGGAACCCGCCGGCCCCTGGGGAATATTCGGGACGCGCTGCCCTGGGGCGCCAGGTCCCGCTCCTGCGCGCCGACTCCTGGAAACAATGAAAGGTGACGTGTTGGAGGGGAAACTTTGCGACTGGTTGGGAGCTCGTGCGGGGGAGCGGAGACTGCCGAGGTTGCCCGGGTTTCTTTCCCTTTTTAGGTTTTCCTGGCAAATCCTCTGCGGGTGGGCAGGCCCCTCAGAAGGCTAAGATTCACGGCCCGGTTTCTAGTTTCTTCTAGTAACCTGAAACTCGGAGGCCCGCGTTTGCTAACTCGTGCGGTCGGAGGGGCTATTTCAGCGGGGTCTGCGGAGCTGGCGGAACAAAAGC